GCTGGCTCTGCTGTAAGAAGAGCTGGGGACTTCACTGCAGGAGCCAACAGCTTTAACATCCACCCGCCAGTGCTCCCAGAGCCCCTGCGCTCTTTGCAGGGTGAGTGCATTGCAAAATCCAGTAGGAGTTCACCTCCCCCATGAAGACCAGGATAAACCCCAGCCCAGCCACCTGGAGAACTCCAGGGTGGCATCAAATAGGGACTGGAGGAGGACTCAGAAGATCCCAGGTGAGACACCGGCACCTCCAGTGAATGCAAAGAGATTTTATTCTGGAAGAGAGAGGAAAAAAAAAGTCATGGTTCTACAAAAGGTAGAAAGTGTTAATGGCACTTAGAGGAAGAAGATCAGATCAGATAACTGCTCACTGCCCAAATCAAGCCCTTTGGGAGAGGAGAACTGGGCACCAACTGTGCCCCTTTGGCAGCACTTTGAGTCATCACTGCCGTGCTGGAGCCAGGTTGTTTCACAGGCAGTTGGCTTTAATGGCTTCAAGATGGATCAGAGGAGCACAAGGCTTCAGCAGCAACCTGAAGAGCTCACAACTGGCCCCTGAAGATGTTGAGGGGGCAGGGAGATGATGTCCATCCTAGGGCAAGCTTTGCAGAAAGCAGGAGCAGCAGTGTGGACGAGACACCAGATGACTGAAGTCTCATAGCCCTTGGGAAAGGCAAAGGCTGCCAGAGCTCACCAGAAGTAGAGCCCATTTCCTGGACCTGCCACCCCAACATGCCCTAGGCCCTGGTTAAGAGCAGGTCAGAGCCGCAGCCCCAGTCCAGACACTGTGGTGTTGCATTGGGGCTCAGGCCCCCAGAGCTCAGACAAGACTAAGGCAGCAGCATCTGTGCCAAGCTGTTTGGCTGGAGCATCTCAGTGAGGCTACCTCAGCCACAGGCAGCTCCGATGCATCAGTCCTGGCTAGTTTTGCTACTTGATTTGAGGGACTATCAGGTTCCCTATTGTTCCTACCCACCTATCCCAGCCAGTAAGAAAAAAAAAAAAATACAAGACAAACCCCCTCCCCCAGACATGAGGTTAGACACATGAATGCCACACAGAAGCTCTGTCCTTTGCAAGAAGCCAACTCCATCACTTCAAGGAGCCTTCTAGGCCTCAGAGGCCAGCGGGGATGGCTGCTCTTCCCCCCTCTGGGCTGGGCCAGTAGCTTCCTCTTCCTTCTTCTCCATCCCCGTGGCCAGATTTTCCGGGTGCTCCACCAGCACAGGTGCAAAAGGTCCCACAAGCCACGGCAGGGGGGCATTCTGCGCCACGTAGTCCAGCAGCTCGTCAAGGGACTCGCGGGCTTTGGTCACCCTCTCCCGGCTCTGGGTCAGGACAGTGCTGGACAGGTCTTGGAAGGAGTGGGCAGCTGAAAAAGACGTGTGGAGCTCTTCCATGTGGTGGCGCATCTGCCGCACCTTGTCCTGGATGCTCACAGGGAGGCCCTGGACATTGGCCATGAGGCCCAGACAGGAGGCCTGCAGCTGCTGGGTGATGCCACGGAACATGACCAGGGTGCGGGACTCCACCTGCGGAGGGACCGAGCGCCAGGTGAGGAGGGGCCGTGCGCCAGGGAGGGGCGAGCGGGGGCCAGGATGGGAAGGGAGCAGATACCTCAGGGTGGGCAGCGTCGTATTGCTCACTCCCACCCGGCTGCCTCCTACTCCACTCCAGCCACATCTGGTGCAGCTTCTCCTGGCCGTTGTGGAGCTTCTGGTCTACCCCTTGCTTGACATGCTCGATCTGGCAAGGACAGAACACCTGCAATCAAACCACGGCAGGGGACAAGGCTCTAGTAGCCCTCTGTGCACAAGCTGCGGGACAAGCCAGGACAACAGAGCGGAGAAGGCACAGCTGCAGCCTGAGCAAGGACAAGTGAGAGACACCCCTTACCAGCTCGATGGTGTGGTGGAGCTGGGCCAGCCCCTCCTGGGTGCTCTGCCGGGCACAGCGCAGCTTGCCCAGGGAGTGCTGGTAGGCCCGGTGCCGCAGCTTGCTGGACAGGGAGCCCAGGCGCACAAAGTAGCTCTGCTGCCGCTTTTGCTCCTCCACTGAGGCCATTTCAAAGCCTTCCACTGATGTGGCCAGCTTAGCTAGGGGAAGAGCACACGGGGGAGTCAGCCAGGCTGGGCAAGTGTTCAGCGGCAGGAATAGGGAATGTGGGAGGAGAGCTTGGGCAGCTGGAGCTCACACCTAAGGGTAGTTCCTCCACATGTGCTGTGCTGCTGCCCAGGCCGGAGCTAAGCCCAGGGCACAAACACTAAAAATATGCCTGAGCAGACCACTGCGGGTGCATCAGCAGGGCTGGGTTTGCTTTCCACCCCACAGTCCCATCCTCACTCATGCATCAGTGCTGCTATGTGCTAGGCACAGAGCCAGTGCTGCCAGGCATGAACCAGGTGACCCTGGGCAGTAAGGGGGAAAGAGCATTTCCCTCATGAGCAATGAGCTCCAATCTGAGGTCAGAGCTGCAGCCACTTCTCAGGCCAAACCCATGAGTCCAGCTAAGGTATGAGCAACATTAGACCCAGCACCTTGATTCTGACCCTCCCATGCACCCCCCCTTGGTGGGTTACCTGCTCTCCTGCACCTACAGCCCTCACCACTGCTTAGGAGTGGACAGGGCCATGGGTGCTCAGCACCTCTGGAAGAGCCTAGGGTTCCCAGGCTTGGAAAGCCTGGATCCAACTGCACCCCAGGGAACACAGCACTAGGCATCCCATCGTATCTGCAGGTCAAGGCTGCCCCTGCCCCAAGGGAGATGCCAAGCTGCTGGTGTTGGCCGAGGTTGGCCCACCAGCCCCGATATGCCGAGCCGTGGCACATACTGACCCAGCTCCTGGTCTGTCATGGGCAGGTAGTGATCCACCAGCTCCTCCGACTTCCCCAGCACAACATCCACGCCTGTGACCACCATCTGGGCCACTCGGGACCCCAGGACTGTGTTCACACTGCTGTTCACCACTGACTTGGTCATCTCCACACTGCCCTGCACAGCGCCCTTGGCCAGGTCCACCACGCCAGTCACACGGCTGCTCACCGCATCCTTAGCCCCACTGACGGTGCTGGAGACAGTGTCTCTGGCCCCCATGACTGTGGAGGACACCAGCTCCTTGGTGTCTGCCACTACCTGGGATTCAGGGAGCAGGGGAAGGGGTTAGTTTTCAGCAACCTGGGATGGTACTGACTGGTCCCACCTAGCTGTATGCATCAAGGAGAGATGGGTTCCTAGCCTGCAAATCTCCACTTCATTCGTTCAAGGAGGAGCCTGCTTCCTGCCCTCCCAGCCCACCCAGGACAGTCCTACGCCCAAAAGCAGAGCTACTGCCCTGCCACAGCCCCATCAAGAGTTACCCCCTCCACACCATCCCTTGGGGGCCCCAGAGCCCCCATTCCACTCCCCAGAGATCCTTGCCTTTTCCGTGGGCTGCTGCAGAATTGGCAGCTTTTCCTCCAGCTTATCCAGCCCCTTGCAGGCATACTGGTTCGCTGTTGCAACTAGACAGGAGGGGGAGAAATTAGCCAGCAAGCTCCAGCAGGCAGGGAGCAGGTCAGATGCCAGAGCTGGCCTCTTTCATGGGCACCTGCCAGCAAGCGGCAGGGGCCAAGGAACAAGCTGGAAGATGCTGCATATGCAGGGAAGCCGGGAACAGACCCCAGGGCCCCTCCACACTTGGCCACCCCCTCCCACTGGGAAAGAAGAGACCCATTCTCCCCCCCACCCCCAGAAGGACTCCCATTAGGAAGACTCAATGCAAGATCTCTCTACAGATCTGGGCTGAAGGTCACCTGGGCAGGTGCTGGGTGCCTGCCAGGCTCCTCAAGGGAATGCAGTTAGTTCCCAGCCCTGCTCTCAGCATGGGGCAAGTAGGGCCCCATGCCCCAACTCCTAAGCTTTTGCAACTCTAGCTGGTGGCTCTGCACTGCTGAAGGGCGCTGCCTGTCGCAGCTCATGACACCAGCAGGCTGGTTCTAGGTCACTTCCATCTTGCATCTCCAGAATTAGCAACAGGGGATAAAAACAGCCTTGCTTCACGCCCAGGGCTGCTGCCGAATCAAATATCCTGGCATCCACCACGTGCCCTTTGTCAAGGGTAATCCGAGCCTGGCAGCCTGCTCCAGCTGGCGATGGCTAGTGATGCTGCGCTACTGTCAAGGCAGCGTGTGACACTGCTGTGAGATAGGCCTACTGGGGAAAAGGGCCCTTTGCTATGGAGATCAAGGTCTGGGCTAGCTCCTGGCACCTGCCTCATGCCTGCTCCAGGAGTGCAAATATCACTGCCAGGGTGACCCCCAACTTCCCTTCCTCAGCCCCCTAGCCCCCCAGAACTTAGTCAGCCTAAGCCTGCCCTTTGAGCACAAGCCACCAGCCATGACCCCTGCCTGGGATGCTCACAGCCCAGCTCCCCTGCCCTACTACTCACTCTGGGGCTCCAGCTTGGTGAGGAGGGGCTGGGCCCCACTGACGGCCACAGAGGTGAGGGTCTTCACACCCTTCTCGGCCACGTCGCACACCGACTTGAGGTAGGGGTGATTGTCCTTGGTGGAGGTGTAGGCAGTGGAGACCATGTCATAGGTGGAGCTGACCAGGGGCAGGTTGGCCACCCTGCTCACCACGTTCTAGGAGGAGACAAGAGCAGGTGATGAGCTCAACTACAAGACGCCCCCGGTGCCGCATCCTCGCGCCCATGCTGCAGCTGCAGCGGTTGGGCACACCCCGCTCCCAGGGGCTTTGCTGTGCAGCTGCTCCCGCCAGCTGGAGGCAGAAGTCTCTGCAATGCCACAGGGTGGGACATCTCTAGAGCAGCTTCACAGCCACGTATCTGGGCCTGCAGCACGTATGCAGCAACAGGCAAGAGTGCCACAGATGGGGCCCAAACACTCAAAGGCTTGTGTACACATGGCCCTAGCAGCTAGAGCTTCCCTGTGTGTACATCTATGCCAGGCCTGCGTGGATGCCAACAGCAGAGCTCTTATATAAGGGCCTGGTGCACAGTAGTCACCAGCCAGCTTTGCCTGACACCAACAATAAGAGCTGGAGAGAGCCACATGGCAGGCTGATGAGATAAGCCAATTCACACACCGCCCCAGCAAGCCTCACTCCGCGCGTTCGGGCTCTCTGCCCACTCATGGGTACAGGCATAGCGGCCTCGCACCAGCTCTGGACTTGGTGCCTCTGGGATGAGTGCGGCCAGCCTAACGTCCTGGCCCACAGAGCAAGGCACTGCCGCGGGCAGGCCATTGCCAGCCGGAGTCGCGCTGGTCCAGCAGTCCCGTCCATCGCCCCTACCTGCGGCTGCTCCAGCTCCTCGCTCTGCGCGGGTACGTGCTTTGCAGTGCTCTCTTCAGACATGGTGACACCGGAGTGGGGGACCTGGAAGAGCAAGCATCAGCGGCATTTACAGACCCGAAAAAACACCCTCTGCTTCCCGCCACACTGATCACAGGCCCAGCTGTATAAGAGGCCTGTGGCCCCCCATGATCACAATGTCCACCACAGCTTTCCCTGACCAGCTGCTTCTGCTCCCCCACAACGCCCTGCCCCACAGCACCTCCGCTCCCCCAGCACAAGGCCTCAGTAATCCCGGGACACACCGGGCAGCATCCAGACCTCTGTGGCCTGGTTTTCACTGCCCCCTTGCTCCATGCTCTTGGCATCAAATCAGCCACGTGCGTAGGTAGGGGCAGTGAGTGACCCCTGCTGCGAGCCTGGGAGGAACAAGGCAGGACTGGCCACTAGCACAGGAGCACGCCGCAGACACCCTGCTAGCGAGGCAGACGTCAGCAGGGTCCCGAACCCCCAGCCTCATCACTAGGGCTCTGGAGGGGCCACCACTGCCTGGAAGGGGATGTTGGTTTGGACACGAAGGCTCTAACGCAGCTTCTCGGGGCCCCCACGGACGTCGGTCAGACGTGTGCTCCCAGCGTGCCCACGCAGGTGCCGCGGGGATGGCAGCAGCGCGAGCCCAGCTCTGCACCGATTCGCAGCAGAGCCCCAGACCTCGCCCCAACGCCAAGTGAACACCCTAGCCGGCCCAACACGCTTGGCAGCGGCCGAGCCTCCCTGGCTACGTGGCTCAGCTCTCCAGACACCGAGATCCACGTCCCGAAACTGCAAGCTCTGCGTCCGTTTGCAGAACTGCCTTTCCGCCCCTTCCAAGCGCTTCCGCGCCCCCCCGCCCCCGGGAGGGAGGTCACGGCTCGTTGAGGCCTGCACCCGCCGAGAGCGGGGCTGGGTGCCAGCTCCAGCCCACGGTGCCCTCTGCACCCCCACTGCCCACTGCAGGACGGCTCTTCCCTGGTGCCCCCGCGGGGGCCTGCCGGGCCCGAGACCACCCGGGCACTGGGGGGCGCTGCCAGGCCTCGCCGGGCATGCAAGGGGCAGGGCGTCCCCAGCCCGGCGCCCCCCGGGCTCTGTACCCTGGTGCGGCGGGCACGGGCAGCCCCCCCGGGG